TTAATCGCATCCAAAATAAAAGTTTTTGTTTACATAATATACGTATGTCTACTGTGTGTATTTATTATTATGTATATATATAAATACACACACATACAGTATATATTTTGAAAATCTTTACATGTATATTATTATATTATATATAAATATATTTAATTTATAAACATAACATATTTTTCTTAAATATATGCACACATGTGTTTGTATTTATATATACATAATAATAAATATACACAGTACACACTATATATATTATGTAAACAAAAACATTTATTTTGGATGTGATTGCGAGCGATTAATCGTTTGACAGTACTAGTTATAACCTTTATTTTACCAGGAAAAGAAGCACATTGAGATTAAAAATAGAGTGTCCTGGCTAAGATAGACAGTAACAGAGCTCACTTGGGTTTAACAGATAACATCCATCCATCCATACACACACATATAAGTTGTGTATATACAGTATATATATATAAAAAAAAGGTCTCAATACATAACTAGTCAAAGCTACAAGTCACATGACTCTCTGGCTCCACCCTCCCTCGTTTGCATTGCAAACAATGATGTGGGAAGTTAAACCGGAGAGCTGGAGCTCGTCATTCCACCTGGTTTGTGCAGCAGCCTGTCGTTCCTGCTAAAAGTGTTCACATGCTTTCTATTTCCTCTGCCTCATTCTGACAAGTTAGTTCCAGTTTAGCACTTCCAGGCAGCTTGTGTGGAGCTCACAGCTTCCCTTCCTCTGCCGCGGTGAGTCAGACTGGCCTCTCCAGCCGAGATATTTACCGTCTCATGACATCACGCCCTGAGCACAGGCGCACCTTCTCCTGAACTCATCACTTATGACATCTAGAATGACTTTGTCTCCTAACACCATCCGTGGCAAGGTCAGGAGGGTTTGTAACTGTGCCGCACGGATCCGGTTCGCACTATAAGCTGAGGTAAATGCTGGGGAACATCAGTAAGAGCTCGTGCATGTAGATGCTCTCAGAACGTTCTGGCAAGCTTCTCTTAAAGTTATGAACAAATGTGCTTCCAGTAACATTAATAGAATTTTCGGTCTTGAATCTGGTCTTCAGTAACATTCTCAAAATGTTAGCACAAAAACATAATTCATAAATGGTTCATGTTTTTTCTAAGAACAAAAGTCATACATGATTGGGACATATACGTATATATATATGCACCCAACTTACAGGCTATGTTTTGCTAATGTTGGCATTATGTTATTTCAAAATTTTCTCTGAACGTTCAAAACTGTTTTAGAAATGTTTAAACAATGCTTTTTCTTGGTTATGGGAACGTTCCATTTTATTATTTTGCAAGCTTTAGGTGAATGTTATTTTACGTTTTAAGAATGTTTTTGCTTTGAAAGAATGTTCTGTTAATGTTACTGAAAGAAAGTGCATCATTTAAATAATTAAAAAGACTAGAATATTATGTTCTTGAAAAACATACTCCTTTTTTTTGTTATTTCTTTTTATTCATAGTTTTATTTGCAACTTTATTTACCAAAAAAATAAAAGATAATTACCGTGTTCATTCAGTGAACATCCTTTGGTATAAATTGTTATAAACACTTGCCCATTTTTGCCACAGAATTAAAAAAAGAAAAAGATAATTGCAACTTTATCAAAATTCTGACTTCTTTCAACACTGTAAAATTATTTTTTTGAAGCTGTAAATAAATCAAAGGCTTTTAGAGTACATTTTAAATGAAAATTTCTTTGTAATTGTGAAATTTACTAGCAATATCTGAGTGATAATTGTTTCTACAGTCTATGAAAAAAGGCTAGAATTGTGAGATATAAACTCAGAATTCTGAGTGCAAAAAGTCAATCAAAAATCAAATGCAATTACACTTTTTATTTATTTATTTTTATTCCATTGCAGAATAAAATGATTTAAAGGCAGGGTAGGTGATTTTGTTCAAAAACATTTTTTTGTTATGCTGCTTGAAAGTCTCTTCACATTCCGATAGCAATCACTAAGTGGTCTTAATGTGTTTATATGTATGTATATCGTCTGTGGAAGGCATAGGACCGTAAAATGTTCAACCAATCAGATTATTCGGTCCGAGGGCTACGATAGGCTGTCCTACCTGCCTGCTAACATATGTGTTTGCAGACTAGGTGAGAATGGACGGCGTTATTGTTGTAATATTATGCGCTTTGTACTGTAATGTTTTCTCAGCGGTGAATGAGACGTGAGGTAATCTGACAGCGTTGACGCCGTCTCTCATCGCTGGTTAATCTCTGTGTTTGTGGAGGAGGCGTGGCTTTGGAGAGTGATTTGCAGGGAGGGTGGGATCTTATGCTTTCAAAGCTAGCTTGCTATTGCTAGCCTCTCCCAAATCACCTACCTTACCTTTAATTCCATGTGTGAAATTTACTTGCAAAATCTAAATGCAAAAAACATGCAATAAAACAATTAAGAATTTTTTCAGTGCACCAAAATAAATGACCTTTGACATCAAAACAGACATTTCATCCTGCTTTTTAATTGTTGATAATGTCATTTATTTTGCCATCTTAACTCTGCACAGTTATATGGTTAATTGCATTTTATTTTTAGCCATTAGCATTGTTTTTCCCTGCCGCCTGTGACCCCATGTTTGTTTCTGACCTTTCAGTTGAGTTTCTCTGCGTTAGAGACAATCATCTGTGAGACTCAGTGTAAACACAGAGCATCCAGCAATCTGAAACAATCACATGTACTGACCTTGAAATGTGCAATAACGTGGCTGCAGTAATTCCTCATCCTCTCACAGCCTCTCTGTTGAATCATTCGTCAAGTCCAGAGAGTTTCCTCACATGCCGCTGCCTCTGTTCATTTCTCAGACAGCGGAAATCACACGAGCTCACCCTACCCTCTCTGTCTCTCTCCAGAATACCTTCTTGCCTGCTAAAACGGAAGAGGACATCTTTGCCCACTTGGGTTTAGAGTATATTGAACCCTGGCAGCGAAATGCCTAGTTTCAGTCTCTGCTCTGTTGAAGCCTGCTGATGTTCTGGACAGATTCAACACCCTCGACATGACGCTGATGCTGATTCACACCGAAATACCCGCAGTCTGATTACACCAGCCAGCGCGAGCATTATTGGTAGTTCATGGAGTTTTCTTTTTCAAATACACATACAGTGACACCCAAAAGTATTTGGACACTTTAAAATGTCTAAATGTCCATGCATTAGCTAATGATTTAAAGGAAAGATGCTCAAGCACACTTTTCAAGCAAAGCATTTAACAAAAAGTGCGTAATTTCTGTAGTGCAAAATTAAACTGCAAAAATAATGATTGTTTCCAAACAGGTTGTGCTCAATCACACAGTTTTCACAATATAAACAGTTTGTGGTGAATGAAATCAAATCCTACTCATGTGTTGTTTGGAATTACACTATTGTTAAAAAATTTTTTTACAAATGTTTTTTTAAAGAAGTCTCTTCTGCTCACCAGGGCTGCATTTATTTGATCAAAAATACAGTAAAAATTGTGAAATATTATTACAATTTAAAATATGTGAATATCTGTTAAACTGTAATTTATTTCTGTGATGATAATGTAACGGTATGTCCAATTATAAAATGTAAAATGGTTGCTTTAGACTTAGATTAACTTTAAGCTGTTGTTTGGCTAATTTTTTTCTCATTTGATTAAATGGTTATTATTCAACTTTTCCTTCTCTTAGTTTCTCAGACATTGGTTTAGTTAGTAGAGTTACATGATGTTACATCAGAACATCTTTTTTTTGTCAATAGACCCTTTGAACATTAGTGAATGTTTATCAAAATATGATTTAAACAACACTTAAAAAAAAAAAAAAAAGTATATATCTGTTGATTATAATTAAAATGATGTAACAATGTTACACTGTGATGCATCGCTAACAGAAAACGTTCTCAGAACATTCTCGCAAGGTTCTCTCAAAGTTGTAAACAAATGTTATTCCAATAACGTTAATTGAACGTTTGTTTAAAGTTATCTGGTCTCTAAACATTAGCACAAAAACATTATTAATACATCGTTTATGGAACGTTTTTTTAAAACATTTTCGTCGGACGCTCATTTAACGTTTTACAAACGTTACTACTTAGTAGTTTCACATGGTTTAGAGAACATTCAAAAGTAACATTCTCATAACGTTTCCAAAATAATAAAATGTAACGTTCCCTTAATGTTGTCTTTAGCATTCACAACCAAGAAAGAAAGCTTTTAAACATTAAAAAGACGTTCGTCTATCGTTTTTTAAACGTTATTATTTACTAGTTTCAAATGGTTGAGAAAACATTCAAAAGTAACATTCCCATAATGTTTGTAAAATAACGAAATGAAACGTTAGCTTAATGTTCTTTATAATGTTTTTTATAAGGTGGTTTGCGGCTCTGGTGGACCCTGAACGTGAACCTCCTCTGAACAAACTCAGGCATTCAGATCACTGCTGCACTTGTTTTTATAAATATCTTCCTTCAAAGATGATTTGAGGAATCAATCGTGCTGCAGGGCACCCACTTAAAATAAACTATTTTTAATGACGTGAGGCCAGATTTACAGGTTGTTTTAGATATTTTAAGATTTTAGAACATTTATAAAACTTTATTATAAAGCGGGTAGTTCCGGTGCTTGATTCTGATTGGTTGAGCCGCGTTCGAAGCTGTTGTAAATTACTCTACAAAGTAACATACACCTTTGTTTACGTTTGTGTGTTGCTCGGCAACCACTTTGTTGCAACCACAACTGATTCCGAGGAACTACATTGTTTGGTGGAAGAATACTGTTTTTATTAATATCATTACACTTTATTTGTTCTGTTTAACTCCGCTTCGCGTCGTACTTAACAACGCCCCTTAGCTGTTATAAATTCACTGCAAACCACGGCTTCTTGGGGCTTATTGCTTTAATATAATCAAGAAAAATTAAGTTTTTTTAAGCATTTAAAAACATTCAGAAAACATTCATAAATGATGTTTTAATAGGAACGTTAACCAAACGTTCTTATAACATATTCTTACCGTCTGGGTAGACATGTTGTGCTATTTAAACACTCTTTCAGTGTTTGTTCAGTTGTAAACACAGTGAGATTGTATCCCATGCAAACCTCTTCAACCTGTTTGTTTGTGACTCAAGCGCAACCCGTGATGTCTTGAGGAAGATCACAAGGTCTAGATCTTCCTATTTAAGGATCTTTAAGTAGAACACCTCCGGCGTTTCCAGGACTCGGCCCGAGGGCCTCTCTTTTGCTCTCTTTTTATCTCTGACCCTTTCCGAAATGCCGCAGCAGAAGCGAAGAGCGTCAGTCCTGTGAACCGGACTGAACCGGCTCCAGCACTCAAACTGGGTTAGCTACTGTTGTGTTGGCGTTAAATTACTTTACACTGAATTTTACGGCCCACAGCGACGCCACAATTCCCATCAGGCTCTGCTGTGCTGTGCTTTCTATGAGTAATCTTCAGAAACAAAAGCTTTATTAAATTCTGACTTTGCTAATTCCAACAATAGCTGTGATCCAAAGCCTAGTGAGACGCACTTTAAAATCTAAATTCACTCTGTTTACTTTTCATAATACATCTCTGGTCCTATTGTGCGCGGTTTGAGTCCAAAGAAGAAAAGTTTTCTGCGAATTCTCACCATCATCAATTCATGAACTAATTTTAAGTTCACTTTCTTACCACGTAAAAAATGTAGGTAAAAAAAAACACTTTTTTTAAGTGTTTCTAAAACGTTGAAATGTTGAGTTTTGTTGTCGTGATTGGAATGTTATTTAAAGGTTACAAAAACGTTTCTTACAACAACTTTTTCACCCAAAATATGTTATTTGAAATGTCCCATTTTCTTGTTGTAATTGAAGTTATTTAAATGTTACAAAAACATTCTAAATGTAACTTTATTTGAATGTTTTTTTATATTTTAAGAATGCTAAAATGTCCAGTTTTCTTGACGTGATTATCACATTATTTAAAGGTTGCAAAAGGTTACTTACAACGTTCTACTAACTTTATTTGCACACAAAATATAACGTTTTTGAAAAGTTTATTCTAAGAACGTTTAAATGTCCAGTTTTTGTACTTAGAATGTTTTAGGCCTAAAGGTTACAAAAATATTTCTTACAACATTCTACTAACTTTATTTGTACCAAGAATATAATGTTAGCCTATTCGCATATTTACATTTTTTTTTTTAAATAAATAAATTCTAAGAACGTTAAAATGTCCAATTTTCTTGATGAAAGTTATTTAAAGTTTACAAAAATATTTCTCACAACATTCTACTAACTTTATTTGTACACAAAATATAACATCGTTTGAACGGTTATTTTCAAAATGTTAAAATGTTTTCTTGTCGTGATTAGAACGATTTTTAAAGGTTACAAAAATGTTTAACATTCTAAATATAACATTATTCAAACGTCTTTTAAATGTTCTAACATAATAGAATGTTAAAATGTTCAGTTTTCTTGTTTTTATAACGCGATTTAAAGGTTACAAAAATGTTTCTTACAACATTCTTCTAATACTATTTGCTATTTGAACTCTTTTATTTGACCGTTTATTCTAAAAATGGTAAAAAAATTCCAGTTTTTGTACTTAGAAAGTTTTACAGTTCACAAAAATGTTTCTCACAACATTCTACTAACTGTATTTGTACACAAAATGTAACATTATTTGAACGGTTATTTTCAGAATGTTCAAATGTTTTCTTCGACGTCACGATTAGAGCGCTATTTAAAGGTTACAAAAATCTTTCTTAGAACATTCCGGTACAAATAACATGAGACCGTTCAGAGACTGTTGATCTCTGAACATTATGAGAACATCTATCAAACATTAATGAAGGTATAACAACGTTCCATAAACGTTACTTTAAAAACGTTTGGTCCTAACATTTATATAACTATTTAAAAACGTTCCCTGTTAGCTGAGTTCTTTCTCTGGTTGGATTTTTTGAAATGCCTTCGGAAAAAAGTAAATGGGAAAATTACTTTCAGAACTGAAGCTGAAAAATGTTTGCCATTGCATGAATTACATGTGAATATTTTCTGCTTTTATTCTTGCTTTAGTTTGTGATTTTGCTTTGTTTGAACAGTCTTGTATTATGATGCTGGTTAGAAAGAAAGTCTAGGACAACCAGGATTGTGTTCATGAGCGAATCTAAAGCCTGTGTGTGAGCAAATGGATCTGATTATCATCTGGACATGACAGTTTGGACACCATTCTGTGTTGATTTTGCATATTTGATTTGAATATTTATTTGTCTTGAAAATGATCTGAGCTGTAGCTTAGCAAATGCTAATGAAGTCTCAAGAAGTGCGTTTATGAGCTCTAATATTGTATTCTGTAATTCAGATGAGTTCTCAGCTGATGAAAGAAAAGTTTTAATAAAAGTTGGTTTTTGAATATGCTTTCAGCGCATTCGAACTTTAAAATGCTTAATGTGCTGACATTGAAGTTCTGCTCTGTCTGTCTGTTTTTAATAAAAGACACTTTGCTTGAAGCAAGAATCCTTTCTGTCTTAAAGCGATGGTTCACCTAAAATGAACTTTACTCATCCTGATGTCGTTTAAACCTTTGTTATTTTTTTTACTTCTGTAGAAGACAGAGATGTTTAGCAAAATCTAATCATCTATGCTTTGTTCTTGATACATTGAGACAGGGGATGAATAGCAAAATCTTCATAATACACTTTATTGTTACTATATAAAAATAATTTTAAACATTATATTATTTATTTAATAATTTTTTAATAATAAATAGTTTCATAAAAATTTAACTACACTATATTCTTACTATACTAAAATTAATTGTAATAATTATATTAAGTTAATAATTATTAATCAATTTAATAATTTATTAATTTGAATTACTATTTATTATTTAATTTATTATTAAATGCATAGAGGATATATTTTGCTAAATCTTCATACTATACCTTTTCTTAATGTAGTAATACTTGTGTATAATGTAATACTTATTAAATAACAAAACAATTTAATAATTTAATAATTATTTATTAATTTTAATAGCTGTTGTTATAATTTTTATTTAATGGTTTGCAAAATCTTCATACTATAAAAAATAATTTAACAAGTCAAGAGTTATTTATTTATTAATTTTAACCCCTTAAGACCCGAGAAAAGATTTTTAGGAAAAAAAAGTTTTTTTCATGTCTTTACATTGTTTAGAGCATAAAAAAAAAAGTACAATTTTTTTAAAATGATATGTCGTTCATAAGTTATGCTATGTCCTCGGTAGAGGACATCGGGACTAAATAAAAATAAATAAATAAAAAAAAGACATGAATGAACATGCATTGGCAAAAACAATAGATTTTTTTAAATCACCAATACATTTTTAGGTTGATTTATGACAGAC